TCTTGCTCAGTTTCCCCATCTGTGAAATGGGGATAGCAATACCTGTCTCCCTCCCCTATCCCCATCTCTGGATGAAGGAGCAGAAAGGGGAGGCCCCTAAAAGGGAACTCCCAGAAAACGCTGCTCCCAGAGGAGGAGGGGGCTGGGGCCAGGGGTCAGATGGGGGTGGGGAGGTCATTCCTGGGACAGTCACAGACTCCTCAGCAGATCATAGATTTTGAGCTAGAAGGAACCTTAGAAGCCAACAAACCCGACCTCCTCATCACTAGGCAAGAATTAAAGGGTCATCCTTCTAGAACTTCAGAACCTCATCTAGAACCTCAGAACCTCAAGTGATAGAACCTCTTCACTTACAATGAGGATGCTGAGTCTCAGAAAGCTTAAATGACATGCCCAAAGTTATACCGGTAATTGCGGGGAATATGTGGTATTTTTTGGCGGGGGATAAGGAAAGATTAAGGGGGATAAGGACTTTTCCCTGGGCTCGGGGAAAAGTCATCCCTCCTCTCAAGAGGGTTCTGAGGAACATCCTTTGCTGGGGTTGGAGGATCTCTTCCCAACACAACTCCCTTCCCTTCTGCTCTATTCCCACCCCCAATCCCCATCTCTCCATGAGACTAAACCATCCTGTCTCTGAGCCTCAGGTTCAAGAGGATGTCAGCAGGGGACAAAGGAGCCATTTCTAAAAACAGGTCAGGCCGTCAGGTGGAGCAAAGCCAGGTGGCAATTTATGCATCTAGGACAAGGTAGGGGAGACAGGGCAGGAGCCAAAGGCAGGAGATGATGGTGCTCCCCCAGCCTGACACTCCAGATGGAGAATCTCTCACTGGCAAATAGCCTGTCGGAGGGCCGTGGTGAAGGGCCGGGAAACAGAGAAATCCTGAAGGTCTGACCGCACTCTTCACCCACTAAGTGCTGTTCAGGGGGCTGGCCCCTAGTCCAGGGGTTCTTTTTGTCTCATGTACCTTTTGGGCAGTCTGCTGCAGCCCAGGAACCCCTTCTTAGAATCATGTTTGTCGCCTGCATTCATATTTGAAGGAAGTGCTAAATTTCAGTTAGAGGTCAGTGAGAATAAAGATGGAATTTCTTCCTCCATTCAAGTTCAAGGACCCTGGGAAATCTATCTTCAGATCCCTGTGGACCCCAGGTTAAGAACTCCTGCTGGAGAGGGATAAATGAGTAGGATCATTCTGAGTTTTACCATCCCATACCTCCAGAATACTCATTATTCCTCTCTCTTCCTATGCTCTTCTCTTTCTTCCTGTTTTCTTTCTTTTCTCCTCCTGCTCTTCTTCTCCTTCTCCTTCTTCTTCTTCTCCTTCTTCTCCTTCTCCTCCTTTTTCTCCTTCTTCTTCTTCATCTCCTTCTTCTTCTCCTCCTTCTCCTCCTCCTTCTTCTTCTTCTTCTTCTTCTTCTTCTCCTTCTTCTCCTTCTCCTCCTTCTTCTCCTTCTTCTTCTTCTTCTTCATCTCCTTCTTCTTCTTCTCCTCCTTCTTCTCCTTCTTCTTCTTCTTCATCTCCTTCTTCTTCTCCTCCTTCTCCTCCTCCTTCTTCTTCTTCATCTCCTTCTTCTTCTTCTTCTTCTTCTCCTTCTTCTTCTTCTCCTTCTCCTTCTTCTTCTTCTCCTTCTTCTTCTTCTTCTTCTCCTTCTTCTCCTCCTCCTTCTTCTTCTCCTTCTTCTTCTTCTCCTTCTTCCTCTTCTTCTTCTTCTCCTTCTTCTTCCTCTTCTTCTTCTTCCTTCCTTTCTCTCTCTCTCTCTCTCTCTCTCTCTCTCTGCCTTTGGCTCTACCCATCCCAACATCCCTAACTCCCCTAGTGAGCACCCTGCCCTGGGGGAAATCCTGCACCCTTGGTTCATTTTTTATTGTTCATTGGCCAATTGATCCCAACATGGGACACTGGTCTTTGGGCAATAGTTCTTTGTCCCCCTTAAACTTAGAATTACAGAATTTTGGAGGCATAGGGGACTTTTGAGAACTTCTGAGGAATCCCCTCTCTCTCCTGGTCGTCTCGCTGCCTTTGCTTGAAGGCCTCCAGTGACGGGAAATGCCCTCCCTCCTGAGGTAGCTCCTTCTACTTTTGGACAGCCCTGAAGGTTGGCAAGTTTGTTCTTATGGTGAATCAAAGGGGCGGTGTCTAAGTGGAACAATGGAACAGGGATGAGCAGATCCAGATTAAAATCAGGCCATTTAATCTATTAGGGCCTGAGCTTCTTCACCTGCAAAATGGAGGGATGGGACAAGGTCACTTTTAAGGTCTAAAAATCCTATGGCATGTGATTCTTCTATCCATTGCTCCTAGTTCTGCCCTTAGGGGATTAAGAGAACAACAGGGGTGGGGAACCTGCAGCCTCCAGGCCACATGTGGCCCTCTAGGTCCTCAAGTGTGGTAAGGGTCATACTTGAGGACCTAGAGGACCACACGTAGCCTCTGATATAACCCTTTACCACAAATTCTTCAAATACCTAAAGCCACCTATAATATCCTCCCAAGTCTTCTCTTTTCTAGGATGAACATCCCCTGGTGCCTCAATGTCTCCTTCAGGGGTATGGCCTCTCCTCCCTAGTTGCCTCTCTAGAAACCCCAAGTTCAAGAATTTGGAAATCTAGCATAATGTAGCATGGTGGGTAGAGTGTTGGACTTGGATTCAGGAAGACTTGAGTTCAAATCCTGCCTCTGACACTTACTTTATGACCATCATCATGGAGAAGTCACTAAACCTCTCTCAGTTTCAGTTTCCTCAACTGTAAAATGGGATCCTAATAGCACCCTCCTCCCAGGGTGATTGAAATATTTGTCAAAAACACTTAGCACAGTGCCTAGAATAAAATAGGTGTTTAATAAATGCTTATTCCCTTCTCTTTTCCCTTCCCCTAATTATACTCCTACCTCCATACCACAGGACTCAAGGCATGCCCCAAGGCCCTCCAACTCAGCCCCCACCAGCTCCTCCACATAAGCACCGTGTAGTCTCTTGAGATGAGGTTTCACTTTATTGGTGCATTAGTCTCACAGATAAACCAGACACAGCCAGAAACACTGCAAGAAGAAAGTGCCAACAGAGGGGCCCAAAGGTGGAGGCAGGGAAGGACCTCATCCCGTCTCTCAGTGCTCTGAGCCTAGAAAGATATTTCACCTACAGGAAGGCAGGCTGTTGCCAAGTGATCCATACTGAGGAGACTTGGGGCTAAGGGATTGGAATTATCTATGGGAAGGACTAGTTAAAGGCAGAGAAATAGAAAACATCAGAAAATACCCATTCCTCAAATACATTAGGCATAGAAATACTAAGTTCTAAAAAACATATTTTTCAAGCTTCTTGTCAGAAACCAAGCGCCCATTGAACATGGGCTCCAGCTACATAAGATGAAACCTGCCATGGCCCTCTTGCCAGGCATGAATCTGATGCCCAGGGTAGGGCTGGCTCAACCCCATGGAAAGCTTGTAGTCCCAACCCTCAGAGTACAAGCAACTGCAGGGGAGGTTTCCCAGTTAACAAACATGGAGACATTTAAAGAAATCTAATGAGACCCTAGAGTTACCACCCTCCTCCCCACCAAGGAGCTTCAACATTCCCAAGATGCCTGTGCCAAGCATAGCTTGCTAAGTGAAGTCTTCCCTATTTGATCTTGGAATTTAATTTAAGCTTGACCAAAAAGCACATTGGGTGAGGCAGTGATATTACAGCTTGGACCGTCCAATCATTTTCTCTTCTCAACCCGGAAAGCCTTAGGCACCAGAAGACTCTCCAAAGGTCATCTAATCCATTCCCCTGTTCCTGGACTCTTACCTCTAAGAAGTCAAGGAACGCATGTCTTCCCTGATCTCTAGACAGTCATCAGAGAAGAGGATTCCTTAGCTTTTCTTGGTCCCCAGTGCCACCATCTTCAGACATGGGAAAGACAGGCTAATATATCATGGCAACAACTTGCCAGTGGAGTATATTCAGATTTTGTGAGGAGCCTTTGAGAGACTAAATGGGGTGGTGGGGCATTATTATAAAGGATGGGAAGATATTCAGCTTATTCCAGGTATCAGGAGCAGCTGTGGTTTGTACTCTGGTGAGTAGGGATTAATCTATTTTTGAGAGGGAAGAAAGGGCAGGGCCAGAGAGGGGAAATGAGGGGGTGCAGAGAAAGACAGAAGACTTGAAGAGAACCTAGCTGAAGTGGAGAGAGGCACGGTCCCTTCTATGGAATAGTTTAGGGAGGGACAGGAGGGGAATAGTCAAGCTGGGAATGTCAGGGGTTCCTGACCCCACAGAGCTCACTGTTGTTGCCCAGGATATTTGGACTGCATCTGTGCCTTCCCTGTGTCTGTGCCTGGGCAGAGGCTGGGAGGAAGGTATCTTGTGAATAAACCTGTGAGATAAGACAGTGACAGTGTGGCCACAGGACTGTTCCCACATGTCCCCAACTGGGAGTATCAAGGAGCTAGGAGGTGTCTTGGTGGCTAAAACTGTGAGTTCTATTGAGAACTAATGGGGTAGGTGGACAGGATGGATTCTCATCCTCTCTATCCTGTCCCTTACTTTACCATCTACTGTGAGGTGTGGGGATATTGGCAGTGAATGAATAAAAAGGTTTGTGAATCTCTGCTAAAGAATGGGTATAGATCTGTGGAATTTCTTATGGGAATTCCAATAGGATCATCATTGTCTGACTTCTCATAGGTTAACAACATGGCGGAACTGTAGTGTAAACACCTACTCTGATACTCCAACATGAAAAGCTTGAGTAGCAAACTCTTACCATCTTACCAGCTCCCTACACAGTGTCAGAACTGGAAGGGCTCCATTTAGACCAGGGGTGGGGAACCTTGGGCCTCAAGGCCTCGTAGGTCCTTGTTTGTGGCCCTTTGACTGAGTTCAAGTTTTATAGAACAAATCCTTTTATTAAGAGTATTTGTTCTATGAAGTTTGGATTTAGTTAAAGGGCCACACTTGGGGACCTAGAGGACCACATGTGGCCTCAAGGCTGCATGTTTCTCACCCCTGATTCTAGTCCAACCTCATTATTTTACAGGTGAGGAAACAGTGGACGTGACTTGTCCAAGGTCAGACAAGTTACTGATGGCAGGTGGATATAAACCCAGGCTCCTTGGCTGTCCAGTATTCCTTTGACTACTTTGTAGTGTCCTCCCCTCCCCACCTGGGGATCTCCTGGGCATCCCCATCCCAGCAACCAACACCTATATGGCCAAGTCTTAAGCCACCCCCTTGCCTTCACTTTCTCTATCTCTTAACCCTCTATGTCCTCTAGCTGGCTGAGCCCATCTCATAAAAATTGATTACAGGATTAGTAGCTAATAATAGTACTCAGAAAACCTATCTGTTATTATTTTAACCAGAATCCTCCATTCTTTACCCAAAAGGAGTGACTGATGTTGGCATTCTGGACACGTTCTGGAAGCCCCCTCCAGCTCCTTGTGGCAGGCATCCCCCATCCCGGCGCCATCACTCCTTTTCTTTCTCCCCTTTTATCTCTCTTGCTGTTTTGCCAGCCCAACAGCTCTCACCTCACAGTTCCTTCCACAGAAGAAACAGAATGGTGGAGTGGAAATTAGGTCAGACTAGGAGGCAGGAGACCTGGGTCTCTTCTACTCCCTTGCTATGTGACACTGAGCAGATCGCTAAATCCTGAGCCTTATTTTCCTCCTCTGTAAAGGGAATGGGTTGGATGAAATGGTGTCTAAGGCCCTTTCCAGATCTAAATCCTATGTGTGGAGTAAATAAAAACTCAATGAATCCATGCCATGGCTTTCTGTGATTGAGCCAATGAGTCAGTACCTATTTCCTTCTGATTACACATCTGTTCACTGGAAAACAAAGAAGTGACTCTAATAAGGGCCAACTCCTGGCAGCCTCTGTACATGGCTAAAGAAAGCAGATTCCTAGAAAAGAGTGAACTGTTGGGGACACACTCCAGCAACTAGGTCAGGGCAGTGTCAAAGGTTCATTAAACACAGGATCAGACATATAAAAACCATAGATAAAACCAGACAGGATCTCTAAGCACAGGCTACAGAGGAGAGAGGCCCAGAGGGGAAGGAATCGATGGAACCTCCCACAGAGGGAAGGATGTGGTCCAGGCAGCAGGGACCGGTTTTGCATCTGGGCCAAGCCTGACAGCTTTCCCAAGCTGTTAGCTTGGGGGTGTATGTGGCTTGTATGTGTATGGGTATGTGTGAGTGTATGTTCACTCACACACACTTCTCATTCTTTAATTATGCCTCTGATGTGCTGAAATAAAAAGAAAAAAATCAGAAGTGACGATGAGCCTCAAAGAAATCAGATTTTTAACATAGAGACCTAAAAATTCCTTCCTTCCCCCACTTCTCCCTTCCTGCCTTGCTCCCCCCATATCCACTCATCTCCTCATGTGATGTCCCACTACGAATGGGGCCTCCCTAGGGGAGGCTTGGGGGGCTCCTAGGAATTTTGAGGGGCTGAGGGAGTTGAGTGAGGGGCTACTGGTCAGGCGTGAGGTGCTCAAGGTAGGGAGGGGTCGGGGATGGAGAAGGCAGGCTGCAGGGCTTGTCTGGGACCCCACTGAAGGAGGGGGGCTCTAACCAGGCCAGCTTCTCCAAGTGGATGAAACCCCAACACAGCACTCACTTATCTTCACTCCCAGACATAGTCTCCACAAAGGGGATCTCCTCCTTCTCCACCTTCCCCATGATGAGACGCTGCTTGTCCAGGTTTATGATGCACTGAGGACAAAGTTTAAAATTAGCAGCACTGCCTGAAGTCCTTCACCCCCAGACCGTCAGGGCATCAAGAGGAGGCAAAGCCGGCCCTACCTTCAAGGACCGCAGAGTCTGGAGCCCAAGAGTGAGATTTCTGTCATTGTCCTCTGGAAGAGAAGGAAGACTGTCTAGTGAGAATCTGCTACCTGCAGCTTCTATCCATAGCTACAGAAGTGAGTTCCTAGAGGTGGTAACTGGGACAGGTTAGGGGGAGGTTAGCACAGGTGTGTGGGGAGGTGGGAAATCAATCCTTAAACACAGCTATCTCCCTCCTAAGGATGACAAGACTCCTTCACCTTCACTGCACACTGCTATTTCTAATTAATTCTCACCAGGCCTCCTGAGGTAAGTGCTTGGGACTACTGCCCCTACTTTATTGAGCCTGGACAGGATCACTGACTGATCCCACAAACCCTGGGGCGTTAATTCTGCAGGTAGCAGAGGCCCTGTGGAGCTAGCATGAGGTTTGGGGAAGTTTAGTGAGGGAAGGGTGGTCCCTGGGTCCAGCCCCCAGCCCTCAAGGCCCACTCACCAACCACAGCCGCTGGGCAATCCAGGCGTAGGGATCCCAGTGTAAGTGCAAGGTGCTCAATCTGGCCCACCACTTTGAGGTGTCGGGGCAGGGAGAGCTTTTCCCCATCGTGTTTGTGGGACTTAACATGGTCCTTTAACCTGCAGCAGAGAAGAAAACACCCAGATCTGTGGTTGCAGTTTTTATAAGGTCTAGGGCCTGGACTTCCTGGTGTATGTCACCAGGGGTTCAAACCTATTTGCACCAGACTCTCCTCATTGGTGGAGATTAAACACTCAGTGATCGGAGCTTGCATTGTGGTGATGGTGGGTGGTGGTGAGAGCTGGGAAGAAGAGAGCTCCTGATTGTCTGGCTTCCATCTTTGTGAGAGAAGATGCCCAGTTCCAGATTCTCTTCATGGAGAGAAAGATTCTGGGAAGAAGACAGGCGCCAGTACCTTGCTCACCTCCCTATCCTCAGCTCAGTACACTAGAGACTTTGGAGAATTTCTCCTTGGGTAAGAATCTGGAACCACGTATCTTCTCTCTCAAAGGCAGAAGGCAGAAGACCAAGATCTCTCTTCTCCCAAGATCTCCCCAACTCTGCCCATCACACAGGGCTATTGAGTAACCAGTCTCCAATAATGAGGAAAGTCTTTTGCATTTGGGTGTGAGCTCCTGGTTACACTGGTATTCATTCAGATTATGCCTGCTCATTGACCTACATCAGAAATTCTATAGGGGATCCCTTAGGAACATTTTATACAGAGGTGAGCCAGTTGGTTTGCACCAAAGTAATCTAAGCCATGGCTCTTGATCATGAAGCTCGGGAGGCAGGGTACTGGGTGGAGTAGAGCAGTCACTGCATGTAAGCTTGAATCCTGGTTCTTGTCACCTAATTGCCTGTGTGCTCTTGGGCAAGTCATTTATCTTGACCAGTAAAATAAGGGGGCGGGACTAGATGACCTCCAAGGTCCCTTCTGGGCAGCTAGGTGGTGCCATAGTACACAGAGCGCTCAGCCTGGAGTCAGGAAGACTCATCTTCCTGGGTTCAAATTGAGCCTCAGATACTTCCTAGCTGTGTGACCCTGGCCAAGTCACTTAATCCTGTTTGTCTCAGTTTCCTCATCTGTAAAATGAGTTGGAGAAGGAAATGGCAAACTACTCCAGTATCTTTGCTAAGAAAACCCCAAATGGGGTCACAAAGAGTCAGACATGACTGAAAAATGACTGAACGAAAAGGTCTCTTCTAGCTCCCATGATTCTGACTTACTTCATAGCTTCTTGTCTAGAATACACTGGATAGTAGTAGGGAGATCCAGCCATGCAAGTATCGAATGGGTAAAGCCTGACTGGACAACGGTTTATATGAAAAAAGGCCTGGTAGTTTTAATGGGCCACAAACTTAATAGGAGCCATCCATAAAGTGATATAGCTTCCAAAAGAGCAGATGCAATCTTTTACGTAGCATAAACAGGATGTTTAGAATGAAGAAGGATATAGTCCCATCATATTCTGCCCTAGCTAGCCCACATCTGGAATATTGTGTTGAGTTCTGGGGGGCACCATTTTAGGAAGGACCTTGATGAAATAGACCACATTGAGAAGATTGCAACTTTGGTAATGAGGGACTGGGAATCATGGCTTATGAGAATCATCTGAAGGTACTAGGAGGGCCAGTAAGTAAAAGAGGGTTAGACTTGTTCCACTTGGCCAGTCAGGACAGATTTTCAAGCCGTGAGTAGAAAGTTGAAGAAGGGAGAACTTGGCACCATATGAGCAAGGACTTCCTAATAAGCAGAGCTATGCAAAAGTGTAATGGGCTGCCTCTAGAGGTACTGAGTTCCTCATGCCTGAAGGTCTTCTACAAAAAGGTAGATAGTACAAATATTATTATTTTTTCTTACATTTTACAGAAAAGGAAACTGAGGCTCTGAGAAGTTGTGATAAGTCCATAGGTACACAGCTAGTTAGTGGGATTTGAATCCAGGTCTCTTGGTCCAAGGCCAGTGCTCTATCCATCATGCCACCCTGTCTCTCATGCATGTATTATGATAAGAATGTTAATATCTAGCCTAGGTGGATAGCTGGGCCAAACAATCGATATATTGGACCATAGACTAAGTTGTTGACCTGGGAAAACCTCAGCCAAAGTGCCCACATTAGTGAGAAATTACACAGCTGCCTTTATGAGGAATTCCAGGGTGGGCAGTAGCTCTCCCATAGCAATGGGAGAGGCCATTTCAATCTGTGCATTGAAGCAATGGGACTCCTCAAACTGAATATGGCAGACACACCTGGCTCCTTCTCCTTCCACTAGTTTGGTGGCCCAAGCTTCCTTACTCTGCTGTTACCAACTTCCTTTTTTCTCACCAATTCAATTAATTCAATTCAACTAATTCAATTCAACATACATGTATTATAAATTGTCTACTATATGCAAGGCCGTATGCTTCATGCTGCGGATACAATCTACCTCCATAGCATCCCCTGCGTCCAAGCCCTTCCCTCCATTCATAGGGCCACCATCTTAGTTTGGCCCCTAGTCAGGTCCTGGATTACTTCATTAGCTTCCTAATTGGTTTCTTTGCCTCAAGTCTCCTTTCTCTGCAAACCATCCTTCATATATCTGCCATACTGATATGCCAAAAGCACAGGTCTGACCATATCATTCCCCATTCCAATAAACTTCAGAGACTCCCTCTTGTCTTTAGGACAAAATATAAATTCCCATTTGGCATTTAAACCCTTCACTAACCAGCCGTAGACTGTTTCTCCAGGTTTACTGCACACTACTATGTCCATGGACTTTACATTCTAGCCCAGCTGGTTGACTGTTGCCCTATACGTGACATTCCATCTCTCATCTCTGTGCCTTTGCATGTGCTGCTCCCCACTTCTAGAATGGACTCCTTCCTCATCCCCCAGTTGCTAGTTTCCTGCACTTTCCAAATTACTTTGTGTATTGTTTGAATTTTCTTATTTGTATACATGTATATATATATATATAATGTATGTGTATATATGTGTATATGAATGTGTGTGTGTGTGTGTGTATATATATATATATATA